ATATCTTTTTTTTTTTCTCTCATAAACGTTGGGAGAGCAAAGATTTATTCTGATAAATTTTAAGCTGTAAAAGAAATAGTTTTTTATTATTTGTGAGGTTAATAGTTATATATTGACAAAGTAAATTGCTTTTACAGTGTTGAGAAATAACAAGTGAGTGAGGTTAAAAGAAGCGAAAGGTGTAGAGTGTGGAGAGTGAGTGAGTCTGGAGATGGAGAGGATTATATAATTTGTATTAAGCACCAACCAACCAACCACAGATTCACTTCACACACACACACATTCTTTGTTGCATTATCACAAACACCTCAACCTCACCCTCTATCCCTTTCTCTCTCCGTTACAATGCAACTACCAATGGCGGCCAACGCCGTCGTTTCACCCTCGCCGTTCCGTCCTAACTCGCTTCTCCGCTCCTCCTTCACCGGCGTCTCCGTTAAGTTCTCTCCCCAATCCCTAACCATCTCGCGCTCCAAGCCGCTCACCGTCCTCGCCGCCGCCAAGAAGGCCGTCGCCGTCCTCAAGGGTAACTCCGCCGTCGAAGGCGTCGCCACTCTCATCCAGGAAGACGATGGTTCGTCCTCTCCTCCTCTCTTCTTACCATTAACACATTAAAATCGAAATGAATGCAGTGGTGCCAAATGGAACTAATACTGTTTACTGTGTTCCTCTTTTCGGTAACAATTCTATGCTTGCTTTCTAATGAAATTATGAGTTAAGTCCTTCTACTTGATATACTTCAATAATATGAGACTGGTTAGATTTTTGCTGGTGTTTGGTAGATATGTTTAGGCATTGAAGTTGAAGAAAGGAAATTAGTACATTATGGTCTCCTACAACAGAACTGCTACCTTATCGCTTGAGATTGTAGTTTTATAATTTCTTAATTTCTACAATAATGAGAGAAAGAAGAAGATTTAAGGGAGTGTTGTGTGATAACATGATGGTTGACATGATGAAGAGATATAGGAAGAAAAGGTAGTGCTAGTGTTGTAGAAAATTGAAGTATGAAATATGACGGAAATTGTTAAGCGTCCTCCCCATGGATGGATCCGGTAATCAATAAAAGATCGAGTAATCATTTAAAGGACGGATTCTAAATCAATTAAAGATTCAGTAATCAATTTGGGGGGAGGGGGGATTTTTTAATTGCTTAAATATTTAACAAATAATAATTTCCAAAAAATATTTACAGGTTGTATACATAAAGTTGAACCTAATTTTTATTTTTAATGATAGTAGCCTTAGCCATTGTTGTAATAGTAATAGATACGAATACTTTTACATATTTCTATACTAACTAATCTTAACAATTGCAGAAATAACAATAGACACAATTAGTTTATGTAATTTCACACTAGTTAGCCTTAATCATGGCTGTAATAATAACAGACACAGCTAGTTTTACCCAATTTTACATTAATTAACCTTAATCATTGCTTTAACAAGCAGGTTCTACATAATTTTACCCTAACCAACATAGAAGTATATATACAGGGGAAGTCTCAAGGAAGGGGGGGCCAATGCCCCCTGCCTGCCCCTCTTCATCATTTCCTGGAAATCTTTCTCAATTTGGAGTGATAGGTGGAGGGAAGAGAGAAAAAATAAAGATGTGATAAGAGATGTGAATAGATGAGTAGGAAAGGAAAATAGTATAGAAAGGGTATGAAAGAGAAAATGAATGTATGTTTATAATTAACATTTCGTAGTGTCTGATTGTCAGTTGCTACTTCTTGTATGCTGACTAACTACCTGTTTCTGTGTGTTGTGAGTAGGCCCAACAAAAGTTACTGTTCGCATTACTGGCCTTACCCCAGGGCTTCATGGTTTTCACCTAGTGAGTGTTTGCTTCCCTTCTTATGTCATGTGTTCATCATTTCTTTTTTTAAATCCCTTTATCAATTATTTTTGCAGCATGAGTACGGTGATACCACAAATGGGTGTATCTCAACGGGTAAGGCATCTGAACCTTGGTTTCAATTTTCGCTTCCCTGTTTTCTTGCCGTGGTTCAGTTCAATTGAGTAAGTTATGAGGGTTTGTCTCTTGAATGACATATTTAGGAGCACATTTTAATCCTAATAACTTGACACATGGTGCTCCTGAGGATGAAGTCCGTCATGCGGGTGACCTGGGAAACATAATTGCTAATGCAGATGGTATTACTTCTTCCTTTTCTTGTACGTCTTCCTCTACTATGAACTGCTTATGTATCCTTTTGTCATTTGTTTTGAGATACAGGGGTTGCAGAGACTACAATTGTGGATAATCAGGTGCTCTTTTTTACTTATTCTAAGTTTTTAACATAATAGTTGTTCTTTTGATGCATATTTATCTATTCATGATTCTTATGCCTGAGGGTCTTAATTCTAAACCATTTTGAGCTATATTATTCCATTTTGAAGGTAGCTAATCATATTGTCTGGCACCAAACATGCAGATACCACTCTCTGGCCCCAATTCAGTAGTTGGAAGAGCCTTGGTGGTTCATGAGCTTGAGGATGACCTTGGAAAGGGTTAGCTATTTCATTTTACCATATTTTTTTATATTTGCCTTTGGATCCTGTGCTGTGGACAAAATTACTGTCACAAGCTTAGGCACTTGTATTACCTAAGCAACCAGTAATAGATATGTACTTATCATGTGAGGAAAGACATGAAAATGAAATTAGCTGTTCATCTTCTTGGCATTTTATATCTCACATTGCAATCGTAGTCTTGTGTATAATGATGTATTAATCATAACTGGAGTTTTTTTTTACTTTGGTCTTATCACAGCATTTGCTTTTACTTTTGCAGGTGGGCATGAACTTAGTTTGACAACTGGAAATGCTGGTGGAAGATTAGCATGCGGTATGAAAATAATATAAATTAGATCAGTTCTATCCTTTTCATATCCATCTATTCACCCATTCCAACTTGATTATGTCATTTGGTTTTGGTTTACTCTCTGCTTCAATGTTCTAAGCTGGACTTTTCCTATAACATCACGATCAATTTTTGTTCTTGGTAAAAGGTACAGCAATTTCTTCACGAACTGTTTTTAATAAGTAAAAGCCGAACTTGAATGATTTACAGACAAGCTCTAGGAACACTTGGTGTTGATTATCATTTTAAGGGCATTGTTCATCCCATTCAATGCTTGGCTTGGCAGTGGGGTGGGTAGACTGCAAGGACAGGTTTTTCATAAGCCAACCGTGCATGGCCCCTTTAGGGATTAAAACCTTAACTTGCCTCGCAAAAAAAATAAATAAATAAAACCTTACCCTGCCCCTCACTCATGATTATTTTAAATTATGTATTTATGCATTAGTTAACCACAATTGTAAAATTAATCTATTATTTCATATTAACCGAAAATATTACTAGTAATTTTTAAACTAGAGAACACAAGTTAATATAATTGCCTTTATTAGTAACTTAGCTAGCATAATTTTTAATTAGATGAAGGTTTAAACCAGCCACGTCCAGGGTGGGTATTTCTGGTCAGGGCGAACTTGTCAATCTTATCCATTACTCTAATTTTCAAAATCTATAGCTGATTTATATGTCTGCTATCTTTTTAATGTTTATACCCCAATATATTTATATTATAAACTTTATGTTTGTCCTCTATGATAATGTGAATTGTGCTTGCATGTTTTCAGGTGTGGTTGGTTTGACTCCAGCATAATTAGTGCAGCGAATGTTTTTGTAGCAGCCGTGTTATTATATCTGATGTTATGTTTTATTTCTTCGGTTGCCCTATTCTGTAAAGCATGATGACACTGTTGTTAGCTTTCTTCAGTTACCAATGTAAACCGTAGAGCATAATGTCTTTCTAAAGATGAGTGTGCAAATGAATCGTGAAAACATGTTAGTCCTTTACCGGAGATTCATCATGCGGTCGGGTGTGTACTCCCCAATAAAATTCATCATGCGGTCAGGTGTTTATTCCCCAATAAAATTGATTTCTGCAGTCCTTGTTGCCTGCTTGAGAAAGAACCTTTGTTGATATTCTATATTAATGGTGCAAATGCAACAACTGTACTTGTTTCTAATTTTTTTTGGTCCTGAGATGTGGGACTTTTTTGGGAATGCCTGGGATCAAATCCAGCCCATTTTGCTCATGTCCCTGTTATCTCTTCATTGAACTATGCTGCAAGGGACTCTAATAGCGTGTTTGGAAAAACATAGAGAATTGATTCCTCCAATCAAAATCATAAATCATGGTGTCACCATGAAAAAAAGGCAATTCTTTGTTGCTTTGCTTTGAACCCAGGGGTAGAACATGATTTTGAACCAGCACATTGCTGCTTCAAGCATGCACTGAATGTTCATGTATTCAGTGGATGTGCAGGATTTTTCCATCATCGAAACAGTTAAGTGTATGTGTTGGGTGTAGGTTTGGATTTTTCTTTCAAGGTTACTTAGATGAGAGTGACTATTTTTGGTCCATGACAAGATAACTCGAGTGAAATGTGTTAGGATTGATATCTTACGTGCTGGAAAGCTATCCAATAGTAGATGGGGCTTTGTAAGCCTCTTGTTAAGCCCATAACAAAAAAATAATACAAATAAAGATAGGAACTTGCTTGCCTTGTAAAATGGTTCTCGTAACAGGTGAAGAACAAATAGTCCCAAAAAAAATAATACAAATAAAGATAGGAACTTGCTTGCCTCTAAAATGGTTCTCTTAAGTCTTATCATGTGAAGAACAAACAGTCCTCCACTATCAGAAGAGATGAAGAAAATTTCACATGCTAACGAATACGGGTGTTCGTCTAACTATTGTCTGCAGGATTTACATACTTAAACTTATCTGCCCCCAATAAACATGGAATGATAGGTACTGTCTTTTGATGGTCTACAAACAATTGAAATTTTCTAAATTTGGAGCAAGAGGCTTTGCCACGTTGGCCTCCTTGATGAAATCAGACTGGTAACGAGGTGTATGTAGAATGTATATATACGAGGTATGCTTATCTGTTCATACTGCATACATCATGATGATGGATAAATTATTTATCATATCGTTGTATCATTGTTTAACGTTGAGATGAAAAATTTGCTGTAAAAAAAAAAATACTGAGATGAAAAATTGTTACTGGAGTTTCCATAACTTTTAAAACGCTAAATATGTAAAATATGAAGAGTTAGCGCAATTTTACCAAACGATGCATGTCGTATAAATTTTCATGCTAAAGAAGACCTATCAATTATATTGCGTAAGAACGTCTCTGTTAGCAAAGTGAAATCATGTGGCCTTGGAAAGTTTATTCAAAGTCTTTCCCCAATATTAATTATGAGTCATCACTACTTTGCTAGTGACTACCTTTTCTAGTTAGCGGTAGGACTTAGAATGGAAGCAACTTGCAATTAGGTAGGTATTTGGCAGGCTACACTCTACCAGTGATTCCAATTTACTCTAGATTAGTGATGTTTGTAGAGTTTTACAATCACTAACTTGCTCATACTAAACAACAACTTCAATTTCGTGTAAGTTTTATCTTTTAAAAAAAATCATGCAAGGTCACACCAATCATACTATGAATGCACACACAGAAAATGGGCATAATAAATAAAACGTAAACAGTGAGATGAACTAATCATGACCGTGTATAATGATAGAGGGGGGCAAAATTAAGTATACAAGTAACATCGTTGTATGGAGTCACTTGATGGTTACATTTTGGGTGGTATTTTAATTTCAAAATTAGTTGAGCCACAGATTAATTGGTTAAATCGCAGTCTATCCTTTTACCTAAATTTAATAAATGGATCCATATGTTGAGTGTATGGAGTAAGAACATATAGGTGCCACGTGGGGATTTTGTGGCCTGAGGTTGATTAACATCTTATATGTAGAGCGAGCAAATATATGAAATTAAGGCACGTGGCTCAGAGCAACTTGTGTTTTTGGTAAAAGCAACATATAATAAATTTTGGTTGGGTAAGGGTTTTGCATGTTGCAGTTAAGGGTTTGTCACGAGCCAAGCATGCATGGGGTTAAAGGGTGAAAGAATTGTGTATAAGAACATTTACAGTGGAGTTGCTTATAAGTAATTTTTTGTGCTACATCATGTCACATCAGCTCTTTTTTATTTTATGAATTGCCTAAATTTTAACAAAGTTGCTTGTAGAAGTTTTAGTGCTAAAATTTAAGTAACTCATAAAATAAAAAAGAGCTGATGTACATAATGTGATAGAGAGAATTGCTTATAAACAATCTCACCGGAAATGCGCTAAGAGAAGTGAAGTGAAGGAAGGAGTAGGCAGTGAGTCACTGTCGTTCATGGAATTTGGCCACCCGTGACTTCTCTTGTCTTCACTCCTCCACTCAATTGAGTGCCACTCCCACTCCCACGTAACATCTCAACTTAGTACTATCACTTAATTCTCTCCAATCCTTAATTATGACTTTCAGATGTCCTCCGCGTTTTTTTTTTTTTTTTTTTT